TGGGAATTCTGGGGGGTCAAAAAGGCAGATCCGGAGGGTGAGGCCAGAATTCCCGGAATTTTGGGAATTCTGGAGTGTTCAGGGGGCCGGAATTCCCTGAATTCCTGGAAATTTGGGAATTCTGAGGGGTCTAGGGGCGTGGGGGGAGGGAATTCCTACAAATGCCACTGGAATTCCATGAAAATCCTGGGAAAATTCCTTTAAATCTTCGGTAAATGCTCTGAAATTCCATTAAATCCTGGGAAAATCCCCTTAAAATTCCCAAAAAATTCCTTAAAATTCCCAAAACTACAGAAAAATCCCCTTAACATTCCCAAAAATCCCCCTAGAAGTCCCTAAAACTCCCAAAAATCCTCCCCAAAGTCCCTAAAACTCCCAAAAATCCTCCCAAAGTCCCTAAAATTCCCAAAAATCCCCCAAACCTCCCCAGCTGGAATTTGGGGGCGGAATCCGCTCCCAGCTGGGGCTGAGCAGATGGAGCCGGGCTCTGGGCAGAATTCCCAAAATTTTGGGCAGAATTCCCAGAGTTTTGGGCAGAATTCCCAGAGTTTTGGGCAGAATTCCCAAATTTTGGCTCCCTCCAGCCCCGGAGCGGCTGCAGAGGTGGGGGAGGGGTGAAAATTCCGGAATTTTGGGCGAATTGAGGCCGAGCTTCCAAAATTTGGGATTCTGATCCCAGAAACTTCCAATATCCCAAAATTTTTGGGGTCTGATCCCAAAATTAGGGCTTTGATCCCAAAATTTGGGGTCTGATCCCAAAATCTGGGGCTCCCATCCTTCAAAATTCCCGGGATAATCCCGAGGATCCAGGGCCCTTCCCGCCCCCATTCCCGGTTTTTTCCTGATTTTTTTCCCGTTTTTTCCTGGGTTTTTTCCCATTTTTTCCCCATTTTTCCCCAATTTTTCCTGTTTTTTCCCATTTTTTCCAGAGGCTGTGAACTGCCTGCTCCGCGCCATCGAGATCTACACAGACATGGTGAGAATTCCCGGAATTCCCGGAATTCCGACCTGCAATTCCCAGTTTTCCCTTCAATATTCCTATTTTCCCACTGAAAGTTCCCATTTTTCCCTTAAAATTCCCATTTGCATGGGAAATTCCCTTTTTTTCATTGAATTATTCCTTTTCTCGCCTGGAATATTCCCATTTTACCCTGAGAAATTCAGATTTTTCCTTTAAATATTCCCATTTTACACTGGAAAATTCCCATTTTCCCTTAAAGATTCCAATTTTCCCTTAAATATTCCCATTTTGCCACAGACTATCCCAGTTTCCCAGGAAAATTCCCATTTTTTCACAAAATATCCCCATTTTTTCATGGAATATTCCCATTTTCCCTGGAAAATTCTGTTTTTTCCCTGGATAATTCTGTTTTTTCCCTGGAGAATTCTGTTTTTTCCAGGAAAATTCTGTTTTCTCCAGGAAAATTCCCATTTTTCCATGGAAAATTCTGTTTTTTCCAGGAAAATTCCGTTTTTTCCATGGAAAATTCCCATTTTTCCATGGAAAATTCTGCTTTTTCCAGGAAAATTCCGTTTTTTCCATGGAAAATTCCCGTTTTTCCAGGGCCGTTTCACCATCGCTGCCAAGCACCACGTGGGCATCGCTGAGATCTACGAGAGCGACCTGCTGGACATCCACAAGGTCAGGGAAATCCCGGAAAAATCCCGGGAAAATCCATGAAAAATTCGGGAAAAATCTGGGGAAAATAAAGGAAAATTGCAGAAAAATAATGGGAAAAAGCCCAGGAGAAATTCTGTGAGAATTAAGAATTTTGGGGTTTTTTTTGGGATTTTTCCAGGGTTTTTCCGGGATTTTTCCGGCGGCTCCACGGGAGCAGATGGGGCGGGGGCGGCTCCGGGACCTTCCCCTCCCCCCTGGAATTTCCTGGAATTTCTCCCGGAATTTCCTGGAATTTCTCCCGGAATTTTGGGGATTTTCTCTTTTCTATCCCTTTGTGTTTCCAATTTAATTCCCAATTTTTTTCCAAGGAATTCTGCTTTGTTTTTATGGATTTCAGAGCCCATTTTTTTTCCTTTTGTCCCTTTTTTATCCCACTTTTATCTGTTTTTTTAATCCCATTTTTATATTTTTATATTTCATTTTTATTCCCTTTTTATTCCATTTTAACCCCATTTTCATCCCTTTTTTATCCCTTTTTTATCCCTTTTTAATATTTTTTTATCCCACTTTAATCCCGTTTTTATTTCCTTTTTTATCCCATTTTTACTTTTCTTCTATCTTGTTTTTATCTCATTTTTATCCATTTTTATCCCATTTTTATCCCATTTTTATCCCTTTCTTATCCCATTTTTCCAGGATTTTCCCGATTTTTTCTCAGGATTTTTCCAGGATCTTTCCTGGATCTTTTGGGGATTTTCCTGGAATTTTTCTGGGATTTTCCTGAAATTTTTCTGGAATTTTCCCGGAATTTTTTGGGGATTTTTCCAGATTTCCGGGGGGATTTTCCCAGAATTTTTCTGCGATTTTCCTGGATTTTCCTGGACTTTTTCTGGGATTTTTCCAGAATTTTGGGGGTGGGGGTGGGGGTGGATTTTTCTGGAATTTTCCCAGATTTTTGTGGGGGAATTTTTCTGGAAATTTTTCTGGGATTTTTCTGGAATTTTCCTGGCTTTTCCCAGAATTTTCCAGGGCTTTTCCCGTTTTTTTTTTCTGGGATTTTTCTGGGTTTTGGGGGATTTTTGGGGGGATTTTTTTTGGGATTTTTCAGGGGTTTTGGGGGATTTTTCAGGGGATTTTTTGGGGGGGTTTTGGGGGTTTTTTCGGGGGGATTTTTTGGGGATTTTGGGGATTTTCCGGGGGATTTTTCAGGGGTTTTGGGGGATTTTTGGGGAGATTTTTCGGGGGGTTTTGGGGGATCTTTGGGGGGATTTTTTGGGGGATTTTTCCCGGGTTTTGGGGGATTTTCAGGGGATTTCGGGGGATTTTTCGGGGGGATTTTTTGGGGATTTTGGGGATTTTCCGGGGGATTTTTCAGGGGTTTTGGGGGATTTTTGGGGGGATTTTTTGGGGGGTTGGGGGGATTTTGGGGGGGATTTTTCGGGGGGTTTTGGGGGATTTTTGGGGAGATTTTTCGGGGGGTTTTGGGGGATCTTTGGGGGGATTTTTTGGGGGATTTTTCCCGGGTTTTGGGGGATTTTCAGGGGATTTTTCAGGGGATTTTTGGGATTTTTGGGGTCTGATCCGGTTTCCCCCAGGCCGTGGCGCACTTCGAGCAGGCGGCCGAGTTCTACCGGGGCGAGGAATCCACCAGGTCCGGCACTCGGGGCTGGGAATCAGGGAGTTCGGGAATTCCGGGAATTTCGGGGAATTTCGGGGGATTTGGGGATTTCGGGGGAATTGGGGATTTCGGGGAATTTCGGGGAATTTCGGGGGATTTCGGGGGAATTGGGGATTTCGGGAATTTCGGGAATTTCGGGGGATTTGGGGATTTCGGGAATTTCGGGGGATTTTGGGGAATTTCGGGGGAATTGGGAATTTCAGGGGATTTGGGGATTTCGGGGGATTTCGGGGAATTTCGGGGATTTGGGGATTTTGGGAATTTCGGGGGAATTGGGGATTTTGGGAATTTCGGGGGAATTGGGGATTTTGGGAATTTCGGGGGAATTGGGGATTTCAGGTGGATTTGGGGGATTTGGGGATTTCGGGGATTTGGGGATTTCGGGGGATTTGGGGATTTTCGGGGGATTTGGGGTTTTGGGTGGGAATTTTGGGATTGGGGTTTTTCGGGTGGGATTTGGGGATTTTGGGTGGGATTTGGGTTTTTGGGTGGAAATCTTGGGGTTTTGGGTGAGAATTTTGGGGTGTCAGAGGGATTTGGGGTTTTTGGGTGGCATTTTTGGGATTTCGGTGGGATTTGGGCTTTTTCAGGTGGGATTTGGGGTTTTTGGGTGGGAATTTTGGGGTTTGGGGTGGGATTTTTGGGGTTTCAGGTGGGATTTGGGGTTTTTCGGGTGGGATTTGGTGTTTTGGGTGGAAATTTTGGGGTTTGGGGTGGGATTTTTTTGGGATTTCAGTGGGATTTAGGGTTTTTCGGGTGACATTTTTGGGGTTTGGGTGGGATTTAGGGTTTTTCAGGTGGGATTTTTGGGATTTTTTTGGGATTTGGGGTTTTTCGGATGGGATTTTTGGGGTTTGGTGTTTTTTGGGACTTTTCTCTCCCAGCTCAGCCAATAAGTGCCTGCTGAAGGTGGCGGGGGTTTGGGATTTTGGGGATTTCTGTCGGATTTTCGGGATTTTTGTCGGATTTTTTTGGGGATTTTTTTGGGATTTGGGGTTTTTGGGGGATTTTTTTTGGGGTTTGGTGTTTTTTGGGACTTTTCTCTCCCAGCTCAGCCAATAAGTGCCTGCTGAAGGTGGCGGCCTACGCGGCGCAGTTGGAGCAGTTCCCGCGCGCCATCGACATCTACGAGCAGGTCGGGCCTTCCTCCTCCCTCCTCTTCCTCACCTCCTGATTTTTCCATCATTTCCCTGATTTTTCCATCATTTTCCTGATTTTTTCCATCATTTTCCTGATTTCCCCTCATTTCCATGATTTTTTCCTTCATTTCCCTGATTTTTTTCCTTCATTTCCCTGATTTTTTCATCATTTTCCTGATTTTTTTCCTTCATTTCCCTGATTTTTTCCTTCATTTCCCTGATTTTTCCATCATTTTCCTGATTTTCCCATCATTTCCCTGATTTTTTCCTTCATTTCCCTGATTTTTCCATCATTTCCCTGATTTTTCCATCATTTTCCTGATTTTTTCCTTCATTTTCCTGGTTTCCCCTCATTTCCCTGATTTTTTCCTTCATTTCCCTGATTTTTCCATCATTTTCCTGATTTCCCCTCATTTCCCTGATTTTTTCCTTCATTTTCCTGATTTTTCCATAATTTTCTTGATTTTCCCCTCATTTCCCTGCTTTTCCCCCTCATTTTCCTGATTTTTTCCCTCATTTTCCTGGGTTTTTTTCCCTATTTTCCTGATTGTTTCTTTAAATTTCCTGATTTTTTCCCCTAATTTCCCTGCTTTTTTTCCCTCATTTTCCTGATTTTTCCCCTCATTTACCTGTTGTTTTTTTTTTTTAATGTTGGGAATTTTGGGGATTTTTGGAATTTTGGGAATTTTGGGAATTTTGGGAATTGCCGTTGCAGGTGGGGGCGGTGGCCATGGACAGCCCCTTGCTCAAGTACAGCGCCAAGGAGCATTTCTTCAGGGCAGCCCTCTGCCACTTCTGCATCGACATGCTCAACGCCAAGGTAATTAGCACTAATTAGCGCTAATTAGCGTTAATTTGGGGTTTATTCCCGTTAATTTGGGGGTTTAATTTGGTTAATTGGGGATTGGGGCCGGAGCATTTCTTCAGGGCAGCCCTCTGCCACTTCTGCATCGACATGCTCAACGCCAAGGTAATTAGCACTAATTAGCATTAATTAGCATTTATTAGGGGGTTATTCCCGTTAATTTGGGGTTTAATTTGGTTAATTGGGGATTGGGGCTGGAGCATTTCTTCAGGGCAGCCCTCTGCCACTTCTGCATCGACATGCTCAACGCCAAGGTAATTAGCACTAATTAGCGCTAATTAGCGTTTATTAGGGGTGAATTGGGGGTTAATTAGAGTTAATTAGCATTAATTAGGGTTAATTATTGTTAATGAAATCCTTGTCCCAGCTGGCGGTGCAGCGGTACGAGGAGATGTTCCCGGCCTTCTCCGACTGGGTTAATTAGGGGTTAGTTTGGGTTAATTAGGGGTTAGTT